CTATTTTGCATTCGAATAGGAAAATCCGGAAACTCATAGGAAACAGCAATTAAGGTGGACAGTTTTACCTCAGGGGTTTGTAGAATCTCCTAACTTATTTGGGCAAGCATTGGAGCAGTTGTTAGAGTCCTTTGAACCTCATCAAGGTACGGTTTTGATTCAGTATGTGGATGATCTATTGGTTGCTGGTGACAATTCGGAAGCAGTTAGAGATGAAAGCATCAGACTATTGAACTTTTCGAGTTTAAAAGGACGAAAGGTGTCAAAGTCTAAGCTGCAATTCACAGAGGAAAAAGTGAAATATTCAGGGCACTGGCTAAGTAAAGGATGTAAAAGGTTGGATCCTGATAGGGTGAATGGGATTTTATCCTTACAAGTACCCAAAAAAAAAGACAGATTAGACAGCTTTTGGGACTATTGGAGTACTGTCGACAATGGATTGAGAATTACAGTAGTAATTACAGTTTGAAAGGAAATATGTTTGTGTGGGAGCATATGGATTAGCTAAGAAAATTCTAGAGGGATGTTTAACATACCAAAAAGTAAACAAAAGACAATTAAGAGAAGGAATTCAAGGAGGGCGAGAGATAGCTAAAAGGTCGTTTGAAAAGATACAGGCTGATTTTACTGAGTTACCTAAAGTAGGGAGATACTGGTATCTACTGGTTTTAGTAGACCATCTCACTCATTTTGTAGAGGTTTTTCCTGTGGCATGTTGTACAACCAAAACTGTAGTTAAAATCCTATTAGAAGAGATTATCTCGAGATATGGAGCTGTGGTAGTGGTGGATTCAGATAGAGGACCACACTTTACCTCTAAGATAATTAAAGAAACAACAGAATTTTTTGGAACCAAATGGGAGTACCATACTCCTTGGCATCCACAAAGTTCTGGCAAAGTAGAGAGAATGAATGGAGAAATAAAGAAACATTTGACTAAATTAATGATAGAAACTAAAATGAATTGGGTGAAGTGTCTGCCATTGGCCCTTTTATATACCCTGATACCTTCGAGTTTTGATGTTTTGATTTTTTTAATTTTTGTACATCTTAGAAGTAGTTATGTAGTAAATGTAGATTTTAGAGTAGCAGCATATTATCCCTTTACCCTTTAACACATCAGCTCAAACCCCTGTTACCCATTCCCATATCAATTCCCTAAATTCCATAGCCTGTTTAGTCTCTTTTTCAAGGCAGAATTGTAGAAGAACACCCTTACCATACGGAAGAAGATACAGTCATAGACTCAACAACCTCCAGGTCTAGAATTCTGGAGGGCCTCCAAGGACATTACGTACTCTGAGGAAGATGAAGATGAAGAAGAGGGGGTCCCAAAATGCCCAAAGACCCAATTCTCAAGAGGCCTGGTGGGGGCAGAACCTGGGTGGTAGTTGGACAGCATTGGATGAAAATCATTATAAAAACTGTGAACATCTCAATTTCGGGAGCTCGCACTGGGGGTATTCCAGAAAGCCTGGGGGCTCATTAAAGTCTTTGTATCCTTATCTTATCTCCTACCTAATTTGGTTTGGAGTCTTTTTTTCCTCACAGCCATTTAGGCAACAATCCGAACCCAACCCCGAACTGATACAGGAATTTCCCCTTGTTAAATGATATATGGAATGCCATATGATTTTGGAATTCTGATAGAAAATCCAAAGGTAGAAGGCATTCTCCTAAGGGAATACATTGTCGAATTAATGAAAAGGAGGCAAGAACTGAAAAAGAGAGGACTAGTAGCTCAAAGGCCTCCACTAGACATGTCAATACATAGATTCCAACCCGGAGATTGGGTGTTGATTAAAAATTGGAAAGAATCCTCATTAACCTCTCGTTGGGAAGGGCCATTTGTCGTTCTTCTCACTACAGACACAGTGGTTCGGACAGCTGAGAGAGGATGGACTCGTGCATCTCAAGGGACCAGTAAATGCTCCTGAGTGGACTGTGACTTCCGCACCCGGAGACCTCCGGATGAAAATAAAGAAGACTAAAGTCAGTGAATGAATCCCCCTGAGGAAGAAGTAAGACCTAACCTGTATCAATTTTTTCAGATATCCCCTGAACAGACTTTACGAAAAATACATTATGTATTTTACAGGCAAGAAGGAATGCCTAATCAGACTGGAGGGTCTGGATATTATAAAATAGAAGGAAAATCAATTAATTTTCCCTTTTGTTTTGAACTGGAGACTGAAATACCTGAAGTCCCTAACCCATGCGGAATACCGTGTATTAAACGCCCAGACTCTGAACATTTCAGTTGGGTAATTTGCAAATGTGTAAAATGTAATCAAAGGTGGTATTGTGTTTCATTTAATAGACAGAAGTCTGTAATATAATCTGTGGGTGTGAATTACCGATACCAGTACTTGTGAAATATCTGAAACAGATTGGGAAGCAGTACTAAGAGAGTGCCGCTCTAGATTATCCTGGGAATTGGGCCAACAGAGTAGAGAGAGGTACTTGGGACTACGGGAAATAATTGACAAATTTAACACTTGGAAATAAGTTCATCAACAAAGACATTACATTCCCTTAAATCGGGATAAGAGAACTAGATAATTGTTCAGGCAAGACTCCTGAAGAATACCACTGTTGCCGAGAAGAACTGATACCTTGTTGCTCCCTGCAAAGGAGTAGACGGAGGAAGGCAGAGGGGTACAACGGTGGAAGAAAAACTTACCAAAGAGTCTCTATCTCTGAGACGAGGAGAGAATTATATTGCTAGTTGCAAAAACGGACAAAATTTTATTATTAATCATAAGCTCAATGCTTATGACACATGAGACAGAGATCCCACACCAACCCTATAAATGGACTATGAATCATGGTACAATCAATCTCCTTGGTTAACTACTTTACTCTCTCTACTTTATTAGACCCTCTAACAATGTTAATAATCGCATTGATCTTTGGTCCTTGTGTCTTAAATAAATTAGTGATTTTTGTCAAAAATCAAGTTGACACAGTACAACTGATGGCAATGACACAACAATATGAAAATATGAATAGAATGACACCTGAGGGAGATCAATCTCCTATTTTAAATGCAGAAAAAAAAAAAGCAGTAATGAAATTTGATGAGCAAATTTATGATTAAATAGGAAAAGGGAGGACTGTAATAGGTGATAAAGAGTAAAAGGTATAATTTGATCATCACATTAAGTTTAATAAGTTGCAATAAACCTAGCAAGAACTTCGCTGGAGTTATGAATTAGTCACAAAAAGGGAAACCATAGTGTTGTAATTGTTAGATGATTAACTACATGACTGTTATGAATTTGCATGTCTTGTTATTCTACAAGTGTTTGTTCTAAGCATGCTTATAGGGAAGGAAAATAGAAGGAAACAGCAAAAAACAAAGGAGAGGACTTACCCCCCCCATCTGGAAACTTCCACACAACAGCCTTTGAGGACTATGGTCTAACCAAATCATTGACTGAACCCAGGTGGCGAGATGGAGCCCGCGAAATAAGGACCAAAAACGGGGGAGCCCACGAAACAAGGACCAATATCGGGAGAGCCCACGAAATGGAACCCAATAAAGAAATCGAAAGAGACTTAGGGGGTGGAGATAAAGGGGGGGTATAAAAGATGGACCGTTGGTTTGTCACAGGGCAGACTGATGGTAGAACAAGAGTTTCCTCCGGTCGCCCAGAGTGCTGTTTTGTTTACCTGCCTTCAATAAATTTCTTTTAAATTTTTAAAAATTATCTCTGGTCTATTGAATATAACACTGTGATTTTTTTAAACTTTGAGCAGGACATTTTTGTAATAGTTATTAATATAATAAATAAATGAGTCCCATAGGGATCGGTAAGACACCAACATGGTGTGTAACGAGATTTTCTTTATTCAAAGAGTCACAGCTTATATAGTAGTTTCAAATGCTGCCACATCACACAGATAACTTCCTAAGCCAATCCCATACAAGCATTCAACAGAGCATGTGTGACAGAGTACTTAAAACTACAACTCCCAGGATGCCTTTGCAGCACCTGGTATAACCAGACCCCACAATTCCCCTGTTTTTATTAATAACAAGATACAGAATAGTGCAAATTCAAGAAAGCAACAGTGCAATTCTTAACAAAACATTCTTCACTTGATATAGTAAACTTATTTTTTACTTAAACTTTATTTACTTTAGAGTTCTATGTAATAACAAAACTTTATTAATCAAAAACCTTATTTACCTAAGAGTTTTATGCAACTGGGTAGCACAAAAACCTTTATTATCTGAGGGTCTACATATGATTGGGGAAAACTTACTTTATTAAAGGAGAAAAGGGTTTAGTGGAGGAATATCATGTTCTCAGGTCTTTTTAAGGTGATGTGGCAGAGGTAGTGTTTATTGTGTGTGTTTGTTTCAGATTTTTGGTATAAAGCACATATTGTTCACATACATTCATACATTTACTCAATCACTCTTTCACTCATTCTTAGGCGATCGCCTCCACTCTCTCTTCATTCATGCATACTTGCAACTTGAAAATTATTAAATGAAATCTGTTTGATTCAGCACCTACCTTATCACATGCATATTGTTACCCTGTATTCCCCCCTTTTTGTAGTTAATATTGAAAATTATTGAATTTGAAGGTATAATACTGGTAAGTAGTGTGCACATTTCTGAGTGTATAGTTAGAAAACTGAATAGGTAAGTTACTATTACAATCTGTTAATTAATAACAAAAGAAATTCTTAAAGATGTAAATTACATTACTTAAACAAGATAGTTATATAATTTAACATTATCTAGATGCATTTAAGAACTTAACAATCTTAAACAATACTTAGTAAATGTCACTATTAGTCATTTAAACAAAGCTACAGGGAAATTAGAAACTTAAAAATGTATTAATAAGGCAATGCTGAATTTTTCTCTCTTATTATTGTAAACACAAAAACTAAAGACAGTTAACTAAATTATTTTAGAGAAGAACATTTGTAATAATTTCTAAAGACTTATGTGTAAAACATGTAAAAACAGTCAGTACATGTAGTGTCTGTATAGCTTTGATTCCAGTCTGGGTCTTGGCCGGGGTCACTGCTCCCCTCGGATGGGGGGGGTGCTACCCTGCTGGTCACTGCCGCCAGGCCTCGGTTCGGCTCGGCTCGGCACTGCACCGTGCTGTGCCGCCGGTTTCGGTTTTCACTGGGGTCCGGCCCCCGCTCCCCCGGGGCGGCTGTGTCGCGTGTGCAGCTGTCCCGGGCTGCGCTGTTGTTGGCCTGGCTGTCCCCGGCGGGGCGCGGGGAGCGGTCACGTCGTGGAGCCCCACTGGCAGCCGGGACCATCGCCGCCGCCTCCAGCTTGTAGAATACCACAGCCGGGTCCCAGTACTCGGGCACGGCGCTGCCCAGGTCCGCGCGGCCCCGGGGGGGGCAACGGGGTGGCAGTGACGGGTGCCTTGCTCTGCAGTTTCTCGTTGATCCCCCGCTCCAGTTTCTCGCGGGACGAGAAGCCGAGTCGCTGAGTACGTTGTCCCCAGAGCTACTGCTGCTGCTCCCCGCAACCGTTGGGGGGGGGGGGGGGCTGAGGCCTCGCTGTCTCCAGGTGCAGATTTCCTTCACTGTCCGCTGTGCTGTCTGCAGTCCCACGGAGTTGCACGCCACTTCGTTCTCGGCTTGTCTCGCTGCAGCTACCAAGTGCTTCCTCAGCCCCGCGCTCTGTGTCCGCTGCTGGCATCGTTCTTCTCTTCAGCCCGCGGTGCCTGTGCACGCTCCGTGTGGCTACACATGGGCGGGTCTCTCACAGATAACTTCCTAAGCCAATCCCATACAAGCATTCAACAGAGCATGTGTGACAGAGTACTTAGAACTACAACTCCCAGGATGCCTTTGCAGCACCTGGTATAACCAGACCCCACACATTTTCATCTGTAAAAACACTACAGAGTGCCCAGAGATCTCCCCAGAGGGGGTTTCAAAGTCTCAAGCCCACGACCACTATAGAGAGGCTAAGGAGCTGTGACCTCAATGGTGAGGAGACTGAGGACAGTACAGGACAACACTCAGAGGCCTTGAAGGGAGGATTTAGAGATGGTGGATCCTTCTGTCATAGCAGAAAACAGCAGGAGAAAGAAAGAACTAATGCCAAGTCCAACTGAGGAGGTCCAGAGTGGAAAAGAGGAAAAAGGAATTGATCTCCAAGGGCAGTGCTGTGGTGCAACACATCAGCCAGGAGGAGTCTGGATGAGCCCAAGGCTTTGTGTGTGCAGGAAGAGCCAGGGAGGACGCAGAGATGTCAGTGCAGGAAAGGGCCAGTGAGGTGCGGCAGCCGGGGGGATGACAACAGCCTGCAGGGAAAGGGGCAGGGCATGGACACCGTAGGACAGCCTGGGCTGCACAGCAGAGAGGCCTGTGCAGAAGTTGAAAGGCCCTGACACAGCCACGTTCTGCAGGCCTTTGGACATGGCTGCTGGTTGTGCCCCTGATGCCAGGAGGAGACAAGTGGCCCTTGCAACCCTGGGGCCTCCTGGCCTCCTTGTCCCTGCTCAGCAGCCTGGGAGGTGCCACCCCATCGTCCTGCCCTTGGCACTGCACATCCCACATCCCAGTCCCCCAGGAAGAGCCCTGAGCAATGAGGCAGGGACAGGATCTTCCTTCCCAGGGGTTGGGGGTCAGGCCTTGGTCCTTTGGATTAGGGAAACACATCCA